CCAGCTTCCAGCTGAAGAGGAGATTAGGAAAATATGATGGAAGTCGATAGGACATACATATGGGAAATCATCAAACTGCATCACGAGACAAGCCATAACTTGGAATCCTGAAGGGAAGCGGAAAATAGGAAGGCCAAAGAACACATTACGTCGGGAAATAGAAGCAGATATGAAAAGGATGAATAACAATTGAAAAGGATTTCCGAGGACAGGGTTGGTTGAAGAATGATGGTGAGTGGCCTATGCTCCTTCATGAGGAGTAACAGGCGTAAGTAAGTAAGTAATAAGGAAACTGCTAACTTATATCTCCCTAACATTTTAGTAGGCTGAAATGTTAGTTGTTATTCACTTGAATTACGTGTATAATATTTGAAGTATACTTCATTTTTTAAACTTTGTATTTGGATAATCTATCCTCCTTTTAGTTTCATAAGCTATTCTATTCAGCAAACAGTGATCAGTTGAATGTATATATATATATATATATATCAGACAACTGTACGATATAATGAAGAAACTGGACGGCTTATACTCCTTCACAAGGAGTAACAGGTGTAAGTAAGTAAGTAAGTTTTATCTGTTTAAACGTTTATTTCAATGTTTTAGTCTTGTATCCAATTAATAATATGAATGTGTATAATCTAATTAACAAATGATAAGTATGATTTATTGTATGGTAACTAAGTGACACGGGTTAATATTTAAAAAAATAATGATGTAATCATTTGATCAATAAGATCCGAATAAGAATAAATCGAATATAACAATAACATGATCATGATAACAATCATCGATTGAATAACATTCGAGAATGTATACTTTTGATGTTTAACTATAATGAATTAAGAGAGATTTAAGACCATATGAAAATGAAGAGGAAAAAAGAAGAGATGATCAAGCATAGCAACAAAGAATAAAATAAGAGAAAAAAAATACTAAGAGAAGAATAAATGCAAACAAAATACAAATGGAACTTAGTTTAAGATAATGGAAAAGATATTGAAAATTGTTTTTATAGGAATAGATATGATATTCAATTGAACTTATATCAATAAACAAGCTTATTCATCATAGCAATTCGTTTATGTCAATAGGGTTTTATAACTTCAAATGGTAAGTGTGATGTGAGCTACTTATATCCACATAAGTAGTATATAACGATGATCAGAAATAGAATGTATTTTAGTAGAAGATCAAGAAGGAAAGAACGGGAACAGAAAACAATTGATATAAAAATACATGGACAATGAAATCTGAGACGATGGATTGATATTTTGCAAATTAACTAGTTACTGTGTGGTTCTCAGATTTTGGTGAGATGTTCTGTAATTTTGTGTTCAAATACATTCGGTTGACTCCATTCGTGTTCTTTGTTCACTACAAAAATACTGAAATATTTACGTTTTTTTGCTTCACTTATTGTTCGAATTGATTACTAACATATGCTACTTATTTTACCCAACTTCGTAGAAACTAGGGTAACGTACTTTTAAGAAATTCACCGTTGAGATAATAATTTATGGATGATCTTTGAGCGATACCAAAGTGACCTTGAAAGTATCCACCTACTTACTACGGTTAAATAAGGGTTAGACAGCTGTGTGAAGAGCTGAACTTTTAGAAAATCTGAGTATGAGATGGTAATTGTGTTATACGATAACAAAAAATGCTTTCTGACACCTCTTCTCATCTTCAAAATCATTTATTCATGAATTATATTAAGGAAGAAAACGTATCAATTAGAGACTTATGTTTCTTTTTTATTTTGATGCCTGAATATCATTTTATATTGATGATATATAATTCTATCTGAGAATTTAATTACTGAGATTTTCGGTTATTTATAAATGGTTTTCTATGAACTGGTATCATATTATAGAACCAATAGAAACAAGAATACACTGAACAGTCGTTTCATGTAACTTTAAATTTCCTCAATATTGAATATTCATAACCCAATTAATGATAGAATTCAAGATCGTGATCAAATAAGATATAATGAACTGATACCATTTGTAAATGTGAAACATTCTCTTCTGAATCAGTGGATAAAGTCATAATAACTTCATCATATAACCTGTAATTTTCTCGATTACACTCAATATAGAGATGTGATCGAGCACTGGTAATGAATTGTAAAGGAGAACGAAACACGTCTTCAGTTTTCTTTGACTTTTAATGTTTTTCCATTTGATATCCGTTCGTGATGAAGTAATAGATCACTATGTAGTGTATGCTACTTATGTCGACAGACATAAGTAGTATGCAACACTAATCAGAATTAGAATGTCTAGCAGCAGAAGGTTGAGAAGATCAAATCAAAGAAAACAATAATGTCAACAGAGAGTAATTGTAATGATAACAGGTATGAAGGAATGATGAAGTTTGTAAATGACAACTGATGGATAATGTATGGGTATTTCATATTTTATGAAGACATTCAGTAATTTTGTATTAAACAATACATTTATTGTCCCCAACAATTCTTCGTTCACTACAATTATACTGATCAATCGATACTTTCATTTTGAATACTTACTTACTTACACCTGTTACTCCTCATGGGGGAGTATAGGCCGTCCAACAGCACTCTCCACCCTACATTGTCCTGGACAATCCTTTCCAGTTCCTTCCAGTTGCTATTTATCCTTTCCATGTCTGTTTCCGATTCCCGACACAGTGTGTTTAACAACCTTCTTCTTTTACATTCCCCTTCAGGATTCCATGTTAGTGCTTGGCTCATGATGTAGTTTGGTGATTTTCTCAATGAATGACCTATCCACTTCCAATGTCTTCTTAATTTTCTCTTTAGATGGAAGCTGTTTTGTTCTTTCCCACAGTAGACTGTTTCTGATGGTGTCCGGTCAACAACGGATATTCAGTATCATGCGTAGACAATTGTTTAGAAATACATGTATTCTTTTGATGATGGTTTTTGTAGTTCTCTAAGTTTCAGCTCCGTACAATAGAACTGTCTTGACGTTCGTATTGAAGATTCTGACTTTGATATTGGTTGATGGTTGTTTTGAGTTCCATGTGTACTTCAATTGTAGGAATGTGGTCCTTGATTTGTAAATCCTCGACATTACGTCTGCATCTGATCCTCCATGTTCATCGATGATGCTTCCTTTATTTTGTATATTTTTAAATTAATCTTTATATGAATATTTACTCTATGCTTATTCATCTTTCAGTTCAACTAATGAAAATCAAGTGCCATTTAATTGTAGTAAATTAGAAAAGTATAAGTATGATCTAATGAACGTTGTTATCTATTAATATTGAAGCTAATTTAGGATGAAATAAACCGATCAAATGCTCAGAAAATTTGATCCATAAACAAATAATAATTGAACCACGACCTAAATTACAGATGTAAAGGCGACCATACACAAAGCAAGGATAGCATTCCTATAACTGAAGAACATATGGAATTCAAAACAACTATCAGCCAATATCAAATTCACAATCTTTAATACAAACGTCAAGATAGTTCTATTGTACGGAGCTGAAACTTGGAGAACTATCACAACCATCATCAAAATAGTTCAAGTATTTATAAACAATTGTCTACATAGGATACTGAATGTCCGTTTGCCGAATATTATCAGTACCAGTCTATTGTGCGAGAAAACAAAACAGCTTCCATCTAAAGACCAGACGAAAAAGAAGAACACCAAAGAACACACTACGTTGATAATTGAAAGCAGATGTAAACAAGGATGAATAACAACTGAAAAGGATTTTCCAAGACGGAGTTGGATAGACAATAATGATGGGTGACCTATTCTCCTCCACAGGGAGTAACAGGCGTAAGTAAGTAAGTCAGTAAATTAAAATGAAAACTTAAGATCAATTTTCAATTTCATTTTTAACGTCTCAATAAGTCACTTATTACTTACTTACTTACTTTACTTACGCCTGTTACTCCCAATGGAGCATAGGCCGCTGACCAGTATTCTCCAACCCACTCTGTCCTGGGCCTTCTTTTCTAGTTCCATCCAATTCTTGTTCATTTTTCTCATGTCTATCTCCATTTCCTGGCGTAATGTGTTCTTTGGTCTTCCTCTTTTCCTTTGACCTTCAGGATTCCATGTGAGGGCTTGTCTTGTGACGCAGTTGGGTGCTTTCCTCAATGTATGTCCTATCCACTTCCAGCGCTTCTTCCTGATTTCTTCCTCCGCTGGGATCTGGTTTGTTCTCTCCCACAGTACGTTGTTGCTAATAGTGTCCGGCCAACGGATCTGAAGTATTTTGCGTAGACAATCGTTAATAAACACCTGTATTTTCTGGATGATAGCTTTCGTAGTTCTCCAGGTTTCTGCCCCATACAGTAGAACTGTCTTGACATTTGTATTGAAAATCCTGACCTTGGTGTTGGTTGATAGAGAGTTGTTTTGAGTTGCAGATGTTCCTCAGTTGTAAATATGCTGCTCTTGTTTTGCCGATCCGCGCCTTCAAAAAGAATAATTTTTCCTGGTTAGCGTTTTTTTTACCGAGTTAGTTTTCTACGGGATGGGGACGCTAACCCCAACCCTCCTCCTTTATTCGGGCTTGGGACCGGCAGTAGCCCCCAGAGGGTCTCCAGGCGGAGTTAATTTACTTTAATTAAATGAATGACATGTCAATATGAAATTGTAAGCAACATTTCTATATTACGAATATCAATGACAAATACATTACAATAAGTTTTTTTTTTGAGTAGTTTTTATACCTTGGTAATATTACCCTAGTTACTTAACATCATCATCATCACCACCACCACCACCACTACCATATGTGTTTACTTCATTCACTAATAATGTATTTGTATATATGTGTGTGCGTGCACGCGTGCGCGCATGGCTATAAAATACACTTTTTATCTTTCAGACAAATGGTCATGTGTTGTCACATAGAAACAATAAATGAACACATGTGAAACCTTCATTCTATTGATTAGTATCATGAGTCAAAAAAAGAAAGGTATTTTCTATTGGTTATTTGAAAATTGTGCAAAACGAATTTAAAGTTGATCATTCACTTTACTTTCCTTTTTTTTTTTAGAAAAAACAAAACAAACAAAACAATAAAAAGTTATATTCCTTAAACAATGCAAAAATCTAAAATTACTAATCGATTATGTAGACTACCTGGTCGTTTAGATGGGAAATTAGTTATTGTAACTGGTGCAAATATTGGTTGTGGACTTGAATTAAGCGGTGAATTAGCACGTCGTGGATGTACTGTAATTATGGCATGTCGAGATTTAGAAAGAGGATTTTTAGGAAAAGAAGTTCTACTTGATCGATTTGGTGAAAGAAGTCAAGAGAAATGGAGAAAATCACCAGCTGGTCCAGGAGTTGAACCATTTCTTGATGTTATTAAAACAGCACAGGTAACTTGTATAGAATTTAATTTTTAAAAACAAAATTGATTAGTTATGTAAATGATGTTGGTTAATTTGAAAAGAAATTTAGCCAAGAACTAGAATCAGCTGAAAACTGTTCTTTTTTTATTATTTAGTTTTAATATTGGGAAATAATCCGCAGTTAGTGGAGAAGATTGGTAGTTAAGGTGGATGATTTTGATGAAGTTTTGTTTTCTTATCTGGATGGTTTAATTGTGGAGCTTTCATTGTTGTTTTGAACGACATTATCAGCACAAATTTTACGTAGAAGTCTATCTGAAGTTTATACTGATGATGTCGTTCGGAAGAACGATGAAAGTTCCATGACCAAACCATCCAACTCAGAGAACAAAACTTCATCAAAATAATCCGCAGTATAATAACCACAGGGAAAACATCAACAGATATCGAAACCAATAAACACGATGTTTGAAGATACCAACTCCATTTACTACCACTGTGGATTATAAAACATTCCCGAATGTCGGCAATAATTACATAGTGTTTCACCAGGATATGTGAAATCCTTCAGAGACAACAGTGAATAAAGAAAACGAGATGCCGAACGTATTCAACTAGGAAAAGATTAAATTTTGTAAAACTAGTATTCGATCGTAGGTGTCTTCGAAATATTGCTCGTATATCCTGGAACCATCGAGTAAGTAATGCAGTTGTTAGGAAACGGGTACTAGGTAAGGATGGCAAATCAATTAATGACGTAGTGAAACTTCATCAGTTGAGATGGCTGGGACACGTATTACGTATGCCCAGCCATCGACTGCCTCGACGTGCGATGTTTTATGGTGTAGGAGAAGGTTGAAAGAAAGCTAAGGGTGGCCAGACCAAAACATGGCATAAATTCATGATGTCACTGAAAAGTGGACTGAGTCATGTTGGTAGGTGTAGACTATGTGGTTGGGATCTGCGAGATGATAGCAACCGATGGTTAGAGACCCTGAATGACATGGCTCAAAATCGTTTGCAATGGTGCAGGTGCATCCACTCTTTGTGTTCTCCCAAATTTTGATCTCCTTATTCCTCCTTGTCTCTTTTTTTTCTCTTCCCAAATTTATTTCACTGGATTATACTCTTTAAATAACATCTCCAAACCCTAATCTTCCCGATTACTGCTTATACTCTTATTAACTCTACCACTACGGGATTTGAATTGACCACTACATCTCTATGCTAATGTGGTGTAGCAACTCGAACTGATTTACGTACGTACGAAGTTCTACGTTGTTACTGACTGACGTACTGGTTTTTTAGATTGATAAGGTAAGGTCAGACTAATAACTGTACTTGGATCCTGTATGTGCGTCTCGGGGATGCAGCATATATCTAAGGGATTTGAGTTGACAATTGTATCTGTGTGATAATGTGGTATGTCAACTTCAACTGATGTACGTACGTACGAAGTTCTACGTTGCTACTGACTGATTGACTGACTGACTGACTGAACTTTTGTAAACATATAATAGAAACACTCCCACTGGCACATTGTACATATAAATTTTTCCAATGTTAAAGAAAACATCACGATGGTATCATAGATGATCCAGATCGATATAAGATATTATTGTCATTTTTCTACATAGACCGTTTTTATTTACCATGGTACTATGAAAATACTCATTACAGCTATACAGAATATATGTAGAGTAAGTTACTTACTTAGTTACAGCTGTTACTCCTCGTTGAGGAGTATAAGCAGCCCACTAACACTCTCCATACAACCCTGTCCTGGGTAACCCTTCCAGTTCTTTCCAGTTGTTATTCATCCTTTTCAAATCTGTACCGTAAATTACTCTCTTGTAATTTCCCAATGTTTTTGTTTTCTTTCTTTCTATTTTTAGTTAATTGTTGAACATTTGGATTTAGCTTGTTTAGAATCCATTCGTCATTTTGCTAAAAGCATTTTAAGTCAATATACACGATTAGATATATTAATCCATAATGCTGGAATGATGGCTACTAGTTACATGGAAACACATGATGGATTTGAATTACAAATGGGTGTTAATCATTTAGGTCCTGTATTATTAACTGAATTATTATTACCATTATTATATAATGGTGCACCATCACGTGTTATTGTAATTGCTTCAAATCTATATCAACAAGGTGATATTGATGTGAATAATTTAAATTTACGCGGTGAACAATATGGACCATTTAAAGCATATAATCAATCAAAATTAGCTAATGTTTTATATGTTCGTGAATTAGCTAAACAATTAGATGGTTTAAAAGTGATACCAATGGCTGTACATCCTGGTGCAGTAAGAACAGAAATATCAAATACAGGAGATCATAGATATCAGGTAAGAAAAATAATATTAGGTCATTTATGTATATAATCATGAGTGTTTTTATTATTAAGGAGGTTGATTTTTAATACAGTGGTTTTGAGTGCTGTTAGAGGTATGACGGCGGTTATCAATTCCAGATTGCTCACATCGTAAAAGGGTTCTTCTTTAGGGACTTGAAAAGGAAATTGGATTAGAGGTGGTTTAAGTGACCTGAGAGCATGACTACAGTGTCCAAGGAACAGCTGCTTGAGGTCGGTCACACACAACTTTTTGTGTTAGCTCCATACTTATTGACACCTAACCGCCGGAGAGGGATATCCGTGGGTATTGGGTGTTCATCTTCTTGTGCTAATGAGGTATGGCAACTTGGACCGATGCATAAATGTGCCTGGTCCTACGTTGTAGCTGACTGTGTTTAATATCAAGGAGATAATTGTTTAATAAAAATTCATGAATATTTAGTAACCAACGTGATAACACTAAGTTAGAGTTTTATCAAGTTATGAACTGATTAAAGTTAAAAATGTGTACTGTTTGATCTCAACTCACTTGTTTAATTGTATTGTACTTGTCATAAAACCTGAAGTTCCACGGAAATCTAGTCTTTGTGGGGTTATTGTCGTATATTGTTGAGGTTCCTCAAACTAAAATAAAGGAAAGTTGTCTCATACTTCATGATTTTCAATGGTTTTCTCTGAAGGATGGTAAGCTATGATGGAATTAGTCCTATCCATTTACAGCTCTTCTTCCTGATTTCTTCCTCCGCTGGGATCTGGTTTGTTCTCTCCCACAGTACGTTGTTGCTGATAGTGTCCGGCCAACGGATCTGAAGTATTTTGCGTAGACAATTGTTAATAAACACCTGTATTTTCTGGATGATAGCTTTCGTAGTTCTCCAGGTTTCTGCCCCATACAGTAGAACTTTCCTGACGTTTGCATCGAAAATTCTGACCTTGGTGTTGGTTGACAGTTGTTTTGAGTTGCAGATGTTCCTCAGTTGTAAATATGCTGCTCTTGCTTTACCGATCCGCGCCTTCACATCTGCATCGGATCCACCGTGTTCATCAATGATGCTGCCTAAATACGTAAAGGTTTTTACATCTTCCAAATCTTCTTCGTCAATTGTGATTGGATTGGTGTATGCTTTGTTGTATCGGAGAATCTTGCTTTTCGCTTTGTGTATATTGAGACCTGCTGCTGCAGAGACTGCTGCTACACTGGTCGTCTTCTCCTGCATTTGTTGTTGCGAATGCGTTAGAAGGGCCAGATCATCTATAAAGTCTAGATCGTCAAGCTGCATCCTAGATGTCCACTGTATCCCGTGCTTCCCCTCAGATGTTAACGTCTTCATGATCCAATTGATCACCAGGAGAAAGAGGAAAGGTGAGAGCAAGCAACCTTGCCTAACACCGGTCTTTACTTCGAACGAGTCTGTGACCTGTCCTCCATGCACGATTTTTCAGTTTAATCCATCATAGGAATTCCGTATGATATTGAATATCTTCTGGGGCACGCCGTAGTGTCGAAGGAGCTTCCATAGTGTTGTTCTGTTCACGCTATCAAATACTTTTTCGTAGTCAATGAAGTTGATGTAGAGTGGTGAATTCCATTCAATTGATTGTTCCACAATGATCTGTAGAGTTGCGATTTGGTCTGTAGACAATCGATCCTAACTGAATCCAATCTCTTGGTCTAGAATTTGGGCGTCTATGCAGTCCTTCATCCTGTTTAACAATACCCTGTTGAAGACTTCATGGTATTGAGAGAAGGTTGATGCCCCTGTAGTTATCACAGTTACTGAGATCGTCTTTCTTCTGTACATTGATCAGGTGTCGTTCTTTCTAGTCTGCTGGTACTACTTGTTCTTTATCCTAAATTTTGCTGAAGACAATGTGGAGTATCTTTGCAGTTACTTCTACGTTTACTTTCAATGAATCTGCTGGAATGTTTTCTGGTCCTGCTGCTTTGTCGCTCTTGATTTGTCTGATGACCATGCTGATCTCTCCAATTGTTGGTGGCCAACATTGATTGAAAGGTCCATGTTGTTGCTTCGATCTTGGGTGGGTTCAGTAGGGTTGGTCGATCAAAGAGTTTTTTGAAGTACCTTACTCACCTGTTTCGCTTTTCTTCAGTGTTGGTGATTAATTTGCCCTCCTTGTTTTTCACTGGTCGTTCTGGTGTACAATAATTTCCCGAGAGTTTCTTTGTTGTGTCATACAGTTGTCTCATATTTCCTCCTCTTGTAGACAAAAACTGAAAATAATGATCTTTTTTTCAAGTGTTGGCAATAATTAAATTCGCTTGATGTTGTTTACTTGCAGCTTTCGTGGAGTAATCATCAACTCTGAGATGCAGGTATATCCAGGTGACGAGTCCCAAATTAGGACGAAACGCGTGTCCTGGATTCCATTGTTAGCCACTATTCATCTTTGCATATAAAGTTTGTGACTTAAGGCAATATCGAAACAATCCACACAGAATGCACATATGCCAATAAGAGAGTGATCAATTGCACTCTTAAACAACAATGAGAAGATACAAGCAAACAACACCAAGTGAATTTAAACTTCACCCCATTACAAAAGTGAGTGTGTATCACAATTCAGTAGCTAGATGGATAACGCGATGGAATTTAAAACGATCGGTATTTGGTTCGAGTCCTGGAGTGGATATGAAGTCTAGGATATAGATACATCTAGCTGATGAGTCCCAAATTAGGACGAAACACACGTCCTGGATTCCACTGCTAGTCACTATCCATTTTGGCTGACAACATTTATTTGCAATGGAGAAGAACTGTATTAGTTACGTTTCACTCTTTTTTATCTCATTTAATAAACAAATGATTCATTAGAACAGAACTATTCATGAGTGATATACTTTAATTATTTCTATATACATTTAACTTAGTCTATTTGAGTAGGTTATGTCGATTGAAATTACCATTGAAATGATTCGATTATAATCAAATCATATTGAGATAGATGTATATGTATATACAATACAAGTATACATAGTCATTGTAAAAGAATTCAGATTCGATAATGATCGATTACTGATTAGCAATTCGAAAGAAAAAAAATAATAATAACCATAGTAATTGACAGTTATTGTAAAGAGATTACCATAATCAATCTTCATTATTACTTCAATGGTATGTAGATACAATATAGTTAAATGTTTCGAATAAATCTTAGATAGTTTGAATGAATTACTCATATCATAACAATCTTATTATTATTATTATTATTATTATTATCATCATCATGATCAGTAGCTTATAATTAATCGGTAATAAATATGGTATATCATGAATAATCTATTCAGTAGACCATAAGGGTATATCACAGTTGTCTTGTGTTGTTTTTTTTGTTGTTGGTAGAAACATAAATTTAAACTGATTCAATAATGCAAACATATTGATTTAGTGTAATTTTTGTATATCATGCCAACTATGTGATAAATACAATTGTGATTATACTAGTTGACATAACTAACTTCTTAGTAAATGAAACTAACTTTATATGGAAACTAAAATGTGGCATCAGTGCTTGAAGTCATTAACTTCTAGTTTCAGTCATGTTGGTAGATGCAGACTACTTGGTTGGGGTCCATGTGACTATCGTAAACAATGGTTCGAGACTCTTGATGACATGGCTCAGAATCGATCACAATAGTGTAGGTGTATACACTCCCTGTCTTCCCTTAAACTATGAGATTAAAATCGCTTCATATCTTTCTTTCTATGAACTAATTCTTTCTTCCTGTACTATATCCTTATTGCAACCTTTCTTTTATATATTACCACTATTGAATTAACTATTTCTATGAATCCGGTGTTCATCTTGTTGTGCTGATGTGGTGAGGTATGGCAACTTGGACCGATGCATATATGTGCCTAGTGCTACGTTTTAGCTGACTGGTTGAGAATAGTTCTTAAAGTGAGTAGAGTTCCGTTGATCACCTTGTTTATTATTTTATGATGTTTGAGGCGTTTATCAGAAAACTTTAAATCTACGTTTCGTCTTTGATTACACTAAATAAAAAGAGATTTTGCATTCTTCAGGGAAATGAGGCTTTAGAATGGAGTTCCTACACAAAAGTGAATACCCAATCTATATTTTGACTAAAATCATGAATATGATCAGAATATTAATTCCAAGAACTGTGCTATATGTTACTTGAAATCGCTCATTCTAACAGGTGGTAAAAGATTGTCTAAATAGTTCAGTGGAAAGTCTCTGATTAAAAGTTAGTTTGGAATCCTATGACAAGTATTAGTTTCATTCAGAACAATAATACACCTAACTCACGAGTCTTGATTGACAAGAATTCATTTATTTTAGCACATAAATATTGGTACAAGGATGCACCAAATACATATGCGCCACACAAATCTCATTCGATATGTGTGAGGGCTGTGATACTGCCCGGGTGCCCAAACCGAATCAAGTGGTTTTATTAGGGGGCTACACACCGAGCCTTCGACATGAAGGTCTGATCCACAAGGCAGTGGACCATCGTAAGAAGATGCAGTCCCATGGTAGCCGGTGACGAACAGTTGGTTCATACGCCATTTTTCCCTTCAGGATACTGGAGCCCATGTGCACGATTGGTTTGGGATCCGTTTAAAGCGCCGGACATTCGCTTTTCGTCCTCTCATTTTCGTAAACAGCACCCTCGCCACGAGAAGGCAGTGAGTAGGACTTCCCTGGCAGAGGCTATATACGCGTGGTCATGTGAGAGCATTTCGAGAGGGAGAGCGGACTCTCCCCACTCTCGGGTGGGGTCCTATTATTTTTTTCCTACCAACTATCTCTTACTATTTAATATCACAATATATAAATCAATTAAACCAAAATTGAATGTTAATTTACTTTTAACTTTTAGTTATTTCTACGTGCTGTTGGTATAAGTCCATGGGAAGGTGCACAAACTGCATTATATTGTACATTAATTAATGATCCAGTACCTGGTGGATATTATTCTAATTGTGAAAGAGAAGAATTAACTGAAAAAGCATTAAATGAATCACTTAGTAAAAAATTATGGGATGCATCACGTGAAATGGTTGGTTTACCACCGAATTTATTAAGTTTACCATAACAAGAAAAAAAGAAAAAAAAGAAAAGAGAAAAAAAGAAAAAAATAATTCTCATAATTTTCTTTTCTTTTTTGTTCTTCTTTTTCTTCTTCTTCTTATTTTGTTAACATTTTATGTTGGTTATTATTCATTAAAAGAATGTTTTTTTTTCACTTTTTTTGTTTTACTCAATATGTACTCTTAAATTTATAATAATAATAATAATAATGATATAATAATTATTATTGATTTTTTTGTGGTTACCTTATCAACAAAATGTATATTTCATTATTAACATTATCAATTATTACGTTTATTATTATTATTATTGTTATTATTGATTATTGATAATAAATAGTTTATAATAATAATTGACAATATTCAATGATGGTTTCGATTTATTATATTCAATGTGTCAATTGAAATTCATGAGTTACCATGGTAACTACAATAATAATAATAATTTTTATTATGAGATACAATAAAAGAATTTTGTCTTATTATTATTGTTTATTCTACTCTGCTGTATATCAACATTCTTTTTTCTTTATATAAGGTTGATAAGCAATGAATGAATGAATGAATGAATGAATGAATGAATGAATGAATGAATGAATGAATGAATGAATGAATGAATGAATGAATGAATGAGAACGTTTGTTTGGATATACAAAACAAGAATGAAAAGTAGTACAAAAAAAAGAAAACAATCAATATTATTGATTTTAAATAATCAACAATAGAATAAAGAAAAATTAGAAGATGATTGAATATTGTTAGATGATATAATGAATTTGCAGAGATATTAATTGCTCTGTTACGCCCGAGAGTGGGCATTGTCAGTCCTCCATCTTGAAATGCTCTCATATGGCCACGCGTATACAATCACTGTCAGAGAAGTTTTACTCACTGCCTTCTCGTGGCATTACTGTTGTTTACAAAATTCAGAGGACGAGGAGCTAATGTACGGCGCTTTAACCGGCTTGGTGGATACGGAGAGTCCACCTAGGGGAGTTGACGAACCCCGATTCCAAGCCAATGCTCCACATGGGATTCAGAATTCTGAAGGGACAAATGGTGTATGAACCAATCGTTTGTCACCGGCTACCATGTGACTACATTTTCTTACGATGTTGCACTACCTTGTGGATCAGACCATTAGGTCAAAGGTTTCGAATGTGTCCCTCTAAGAAAACCACCTTCTTCGGTTTGGGCACCCGGGAAGTATCCTAGTTTTCACACAAATCGAATGATTTATGTGGTGCATATCTATTTGTTGCCTTCTTGTATCATTATTTATGTATTTAAATAAATTATATACAAATAAACGAGAAAATCAACACTGAGCTCATAGGACATGGTAACTTTTAAAATGGCCTTCAATGCAGTTTTGTTTTCTTTCATATGTAGTTTAGTTGACATATTTAAGTGTCAAATGTTTCTGAATTGAATGTTTGATTACGACAGTATTATCTTAAACATTCATTTCAGTCAAGTTAGTTTACTTCATCATATTTTACAAATTACGATTTTTATTTAGGTAGTAACTAGGTAGCCTTAACGAATCTTCACTTATCATATGTTGCAAGCAGATGTTGAGAATAGTTCTAAGCATAATTTATGTGCATATTTATTCAGTGTAGAAATAAAGCTTCCTGAAGATTTTTGATTTCCTTGCTCTGCATCCTCGTTTGATAAGCATTGGGAAGCGTTTCAGTCAGTCTTTGGCAACGTTGAAGGTGTGTGTTCGTCGGTTCAAGTTGGCATGTCATATCACCAAAGCTGGATGAAATTATCAAGACGAATTCTACAGTAATGAAAGTAGCATCAGTATACGTAGTATAATGAAGAAATAAGCTTAGACAAAATTATTCGAGAAAGAATGAATCTTGGAATAGATATCGTAAGATAGTTTAAGAACTTAAGATCTACGGGATGGCAGAGATTGAATGATTATGAGGCATGTCATGAGATATATGAAACCATCGATTGCAATTATTATGCAGTGTGCACTGAAATAATCTGTATATGCCAGTATCACTCAAACCAACTGTCAGTAGCTTCATGAACTAATTATGTGCCTTCTTATGGCTACCCTAGCTTTCTTCCAACTTACTTCTACTCGAATCAACTTCACGCATTGAAGTAGACGGTAGCTGGACATACGCTACGCGCGTTCCTAAATCCTCAGTCAATGAAGATTCACAACCTCATCAACTGATTTACCATCATTCCCTAATACCCGATTATTCCTATTAAGATGAGTCAAATCATGTATTACAAATATAGAAACTGACAATTTGAAAAATGATTTAGACCATAAAAGTAAATGGGTGTATTTTCTACAATAAAAACCAATACAGCACTATACAAAAACAAGAAAAGGAGATTGTTCAATTAATTAGAATCCGTTCAAAGATTCTAACTCAATGGTTGAATTACTCATGAAATGAATCATGGACTATACATTCGAAATGAATAAGCTACTTCAAAAGAAAACAAAGTCTCAGCACAAAAAAACAAATGACGAAGAATTAAAAAGCGGAGGATATAAAATTGCAATCAAAAAAGTGGATCAAAACACTGAATAAATAGGCAAATATTTAGGATTAGGAGTTAATTACAAAACAGAAACATTAGATTTTAGATATACAAGCGTCATTACCACGCTACTGAATATTGATTAGTAGTATAATGAAATACATAAAAAAGGGAAGGGTAGACAAGTCGAAGCGTAAAGCCAGTTCAACTATAAATATTATTTCATCAGAATGGGTTTTGTGGAGAATTTTAGAAATTTTCACAGGTTGAAATCATGAGCCAGTTGAAGCTAGACCACCATTGAAAACCTGGAAGCACTGGACGGTCGTTTCGTCCTGGTATGGGACTTCCTCAGCAGTGCGCATCCACGATCCCGCACCACTGCTGAGGAGTCCCATACCAGGACGAAACGACCGTCCAGTGCTTCCAGGTTTTCAATGGTGGTCTAGCTTCAACTGACTCATGATTTCAACCTGTGAAATATTATTTCATTAAAACTGATTCATTGTCAGGATTCAACAAAAGTGTAATTAAAGTTTCAAATAATTTCAAACGAGATGAATTATTCGTCTTCAATGTTTCAATAAATTCATAATTGTTTATGGCATCAATATTAACATTATTCTCAGGATCAACATTGTATATTTGCTTTTCTAATAAATATGGATCATATTCAAAGTGAACACCACTTAAAATACCACAACCATTCCCTAATTTCGAACCAATAATAGCCGGTTTTCCATTATCCGAGCTGGAAAAAAAATGCATATACACATACATTTCACATTTATCGTAGGGCATAGGATCAAACTGGACGGGTTAAGCTATAACCCATTCCGGTCAGGAATGGATCAAATAATGAACTAAATCAATTATTCGCCACAGATATATCTCATTTACAGTATCATTAAAATCAAGGAGCATTACACGTACATTTCGTTCCAATATGAGACTCATCAGTTCTTACTGACGACGCTATCAGTGATCAAGGCAGAGGATTTAAATTCTTGTGACGAATCCCTAGCTACTGGAACCATCAAGTTAACATGCACAGGAGCATTGATTTGAACTTTGCTTGATCATTATTATTTAAAAGGACTCATTGTTATAGAATAAAACTAGAGGTTTTTTAGTGATATCAATTAGCAACTATAGTAAATTACCGTGTGATATAGCTCTGACTAGATTGGGGATTTCTTTAATCTTAGTATTGTGATGATATATATATATCTTGAAATACGTTGAGTAATACCTCGAGTTAACTGACAGTTTCAACAATAAAATCACATTCACTAGAAGAGAGTTTGATATGTCTACATCTGATAGGAACATGGTCAAATTACAGCTCCAATGATTCCATCATCTTTATTTATAATCATATCAAATTTTAGGACTCTGCAGTGAACTAAATTTTATTCTGTGAATGTTCGTGAAACTAATCAGCAGTTCAAACTAAGTTGAATATGATGGTGTTTTAGCTTTTAATTCAATAGTTGAACAACAAACATTTTTGAATTATTAAACCGGCGAGATTATGATTTATGAATGAACCAATCAGATTTACCAGAACAGGATTTTGATTTTGGCGCGAAATCAATTCATTCATTTGTCTAAATAGAGTTTCAGCAATATAGCTGATTTCAGTTCGTGATGAAAACCCTAAATCTAATTCTTAATCCAAACTATCCACTGTAGATATTAATACTAATTTCTCAAACTGGTTTATAATCCTCATTTAGCCATAGTATGTAGGCCAACATTTGCAAGGTTTCTTTAGCGTCGCCCCAAGGTCGACCATAAATAACAGTCTCACCATCAAACCTATTTATCAGTTAATTTTTTACTATTTAGAGTAGAATACTGAATATGATTTAATCACTAGTTTGTCACTTAATTTATCAATATACAAAACAATCCGTGTCGGGTAGAGACAGGTATCTATTTCAGTACAATGGAAGATGGTCACGCAATTTCGTGGATTGGTTGAGACATTAACAACGTTGGATGCCGACTCAGTAGTCTAGAGGCTAAGTGTTCGCGCGCGAGACTGAATGTCCTGGGTTCGAACACCCTCTCGCGGGATCGTGGATACGCACTGATGAGGAGTCCCACAATATGATTAAATGGCCTTCCATTGCTTCCAGGTTATCAATGGGGGTCTAATCATCAATCACTTCATGATCTCAATCAAAATACAAAATATATTCACATACTATGTATATAAAACTTGTGAATCCCCCCAATTAATAGATTCAAATGTACATCCTCCATTATAATATACAGTAGCTGTTTGTGGTATTAAATTTTTTGATACAGCTTGAATAGAAACTGCATAACTCCCATTTTCACTGTTATATTGAAAACCAGGGAAAACTGGACCTGATCCAATACCTAGAATTTATTAAAAAGAAAAAAATATTATATTGTAGGATGTTGATTTGGCAAGACTGTAATTTATGGACGAACCAACCAGATACAAGACAACAGATCTCGGATTTTGGCACGATATTCACTTATCCATTTGGACAAATAGAGTCTTAGCATAATAGCTGATGTCAGTTCGTGATGAAAAACCCTAAATCTGATTCTCAACCTTAACCATCAACTGTGAATCGTAATTCCAATTCCTCACATTTGTTTATGACCCTCATTTGGTCTCTGTTACTAGGTGGACACTATTAAGGTTACTTTGGCGTCTCTCATAGGTCGTCCATAAATTATAGTCCCACCCTTGATTTCACTAAGTTTATATTATTTAGATTTGAATAGTTTAATTTAGAACAAGCTTTAATTATCTAACTCAAATTCATTTTTATTATACAATATTGTTCAGATTTAGATTTCTTTGATTATCATTGATATTCTTATGACTTCGACTTGATTGTAATTAATTTCATCGTGTTATGACATAATGAGCAAATGTGGTATGAGCTACTTATATCCACATAAGTAGTATATAACT